TTTTACAAGTGGTATCATATCTCCTAGCATAAACACTCAAGAGTTTCTTTGTGAAATATATAAATAAAAGTAGAACCTCTAGGGGTGGAGTAATAGCACAGCAGATAGGGCATTTGCCTTGCATGTGACCGACCTAGCTTCAATTCCAAGCATCCCATATGGTCCCCTGAGCACCACCAAGAGTAATTCCCGAGTGCAGAGCCAGGAGTAACCCCTGTGCATCACCGAGTGTGACCCTACCCCCCAAAAAAAGTAGAACCTCTAATGATCTTCAGCTTTGCAATGTTAAACTGTGGCCAATGTTTATACTCTCCCCATCTAGGTATGAGGCCTATGTACCCAAGCTTATCAATGCGTTTCTTTGCAGATGCTTGAATTTTGGCATCCAGGTGAATGAAGATTGATCATTATAAACATTTAATTTGCATTTTTTTATTATTAATGAAGCTGTGCGTCTTTTAGTATGCTTACTGTCAATCACGTTTCCTCTGAATTCCTTGTTACTGTTCTTCTTTTTATTGACCTGTTTTTCTAATTAGTTTTAGCTTCTTCCAGTTTGCAATATTTTCTAAGCTTAGCTTTTTTTTCAGTTTTTTAAATTTTTAAATAAATCACCGTGGGGTACAGTTACAGACTTACAAACTTTCGTGCTTATGTTTCAGTCATACAATGATTGAGTACCCATCCCTCCACCAGTGGGAGGGATACTGGGATCATTGGTGGTGGAGAATGGGCACTGGTGGAAGCTTAGCTTTTTTTATGCTTCCTTTATGATGTCTTTTAATTTTTAATTATAAATTTTAATGTTATTAAATGTACCAACTGTTTCTTATTTGTTTCTTCTTTTGTCTTAGACATTTTTTTCAATTCCAAGACCTTAAAGATCTTTTAAAAAAATTTTTTTTTATTATTGAATCACCATAAGATACAGTTACAAAGCTTTTGTGATCAAATTTCAGTCAGACAATGCTTCAACACCCATGTATACTCCAGTATACATTTCCTACCCCCAATATCTCCCCGCACCCGTATCCCTCCCGCCACCGCCTCCCACTCCCGCCAACCCCAAGCCTGTCTCTCTGACAGGCACTTTTCTTCTTTGTCTCCTCTCTCTCTACTTTTGGGTGTCATGGCTTGCAATACATATACTGAGAGGCCATCATGTTTGGTCTTTAAGTTCTTATTTATGTGTTTTCTTTAAAAAGTTTTAAAAGCTGTGGCTGCAAATAGCATGCAGCCTCGTCTGTAGTATATGCAACCTGTGGCTGGTATGGGCCGTTCTAAGGGACTGTGGAGACAGTCCTTTAATGTGTGTTGTCATCACTAAGCTCACACTGATAGAACAGCAAACAAGTTAACTAGCTGGGGAGAAATATTGATTCTAAGAACAAACGTAAGAGGAACATAAAACAAATGGTCTTACTAGAAAACACTAAAATGGCAAGCACAAACTCAACTACACCAATAAATGCATTAAATATAAACAAAATACTCCAACTACAAGGCAAAAATGTACAGGCCCACACTATAAAATAAAGAGTTATACGAACAGGACAGTGTGGAAGTTTTAAGCATGAACTCTCAAGTCTGGGCTTAAATCTTAATTCTAACATTTACTATGAGACTTGGGAATGCCACAAATCTTGCCTGTGCCTTAATTTCCTCATATCTAAAATGAGAATAATAAAAATCACCTCATTGCTAGGGCACAGAAACCTGTGTATATCAATACCATAATTGTTAACTATTGTAATCAGGTTGCCTAAACTATGATAACATTTATTTTAAAAATAACATTTACTGGGGCTGGAGCAATAGCACAGCGGGTAGGGCGTTTGCCTTGCATGCGGCCAACCCAGGTTTGATTCCCAGCATTCCATATGGTCCCCTGAGGACCGCCAGGGGTAATTCCTGAGTGCAGAGCCAGGAGTCACCCTTGTGCATCACCAGGTGTGACCCAAAAAGCCAATAAACAAACAAATAAATAAATAAATAAATAAAACAACATTTACTTCAGATAATCATGTGAAAATTAAATGACCTAACAAATATAAATGTCAGACAATAATGCTGGGCACATAGAAAGTGCCTATTGCTATGGGAGAAACCAGCCTCAGTAATTTTGAAAACTTTCCACCAGATTCCAATATGCAGCCCAATTTGAGGACCACTGACTTAGAGGGATCCTCCAAACCCAGAGTGGGATGCACTTATTAGCAGGACCAGGGAAGGCTCAGAAAAAGGAGGCAGCAGGACTGCGGATAAGGAGCTACTCCACATTTGGGTCCCTGCCCACTCACTAGAGCGTTTCTCCAAGCTAGGGCACCCAGTAGCTGCTAAAAAAGAAAACAAAACAAACCACAAAAGAACTCCATGCAGGGCCAGAGAGGAACACAGAGCAAGAGACTCTGTGACTAGAAGAGCCTCGCAAAGCCTCCCAGAACTTTTGGATTTGCATTGACGAAGGTGCACAGTATAGTAAACACAAGAATTTCCAGCCTTTCTAATTGGGGGGTCTCTCTAGAAAGAGACCCAGGTGTTTAGAAAACAACAGACTCTCAAACACAGTCTGGGGTGTCCCCTCCCCAGAAAACAAAGCAAACAAGAGGATTAGAAAGGAAGAGCTTTCTTCCTTAAATAACATGTTTATTTTGGAAATAAAGATTTATGTATCCCAAATCCAGGCAGACTATTTCTGCTATTATGGGGTGAGGTGTCATGGTATGAAGGGTGGATTGCTTCTGAGGAAAAGCCAGGAACTGTTATGCTCTCAATAAGGCCCTCCCATTATCTACAGGAAACACAGGGGAAAACCAACATTGAATAGGCCAACATGCCCCCTGCCCCCTGCCCCCTGCCTGCAATCGTGCCCTCTTCACCAAGAGGCAAACAGGACATGGAGGTGGGCAGGGTAGGGGTGGGGGGGGGGGACAGGAGAGGTTCTGAGATTCCAAGGGTAAAGCTTGCGGCAGACCTAGAGATCACTAAGCAAACAGTTACTGTTCAGCCAGTAAGTGATTATCTGGCCTCACTCTGCCTGGCACAGTCCTTGACCACGTCCCCTCTGATTGTGAGTTCCTTCTATACAGTTAAGTTTGTGAATCTTATATTTTTCAAGGTCCCTGTTGAACTCATTTTTTTTCTCCATCCCACAGAAAGAGAGGATTCTCCACCTGAGCCATCACCATAAGCAGAGACGCAGAGAAAATAAGATAGGGGCAGTGAACTACAACAGTTATCAGAGGGCAGGAAACAGCAGAAATTAAGCTACGGGTAGGAGCATGACTCTGTCTTCATGCAGCAGGCCACGCTTATCAAGACAGAAAGAATGTGCAATAAGGAAATATCTTGCTGGGTTTTTTTGGGGGGGAAGGTGTTCTGGGGGTCGGGGGGGTACACTTGGCAATGCTCAGGGGTAACTGGCTCTGCGCCCAGGAATCACTTTTTGGAGGTGATCAGGGCACCGTATGGGGTGCCAGAAATTGAACTTGGGTCAGCCCCACACAAGACATGCTTCCAACCCACCATACTCTTTCTCCGGCTTTAAGATCTTGTGTTTTAAGGACAAAAAGGAAATGTACTATTTTTTATGTAGTCTGTGGATTAGTGTTTAATGTTGGCATTAAATTCTGTTTAAAACAACCCAACCATCACACTCTGCCTTGGAGATTCGCCCACATTTCAACCTGCAATGTGGACTCTCCACTCGCCTCCTCTAGGGAAGCCCGTGTTCTCGCTTGAATGCACAATCTCCATCTCCCTCTCTCTTGCTCTTCCCTTCTCCCTCTCCCACCCCCCCACCCCTTGACCTTCATAGTTCTTTAAATAAAACTATTTTACTTCCACCCCAGAGATGTGTCCCAGAGGCTAAGCGCCTGCCTGTAAGGTATGAGATTCAGATTTCAATCCTGGTGCCACCACATCATCCAGGGTGATCCCCAGCACTGCACTCAATTGGGATGATCTCCATCCCCACAAATGTACTGTCTCGGCCACACCACAACTGAGTGTGCAAACCCTAGACCTGGCAACCACAATAAAGGACAAGGAAAGGGGGAAGTGGGCCAAACAAAATATACCTGCAATGTTCCACGGGTCACCATTTCTGACAAAAGAGGTTTTATGTGAAAAAGTTTAAGCTTCATGACTGTCTTTCTAGTAAGCACATCATTTATTTGCCCTTCAGTGTTAAAAATAGGTACAGAAGCTCTTTCTGGAATTCTTTAGGTAAGATCTAGGATCATTATAGGGCAGGAGAGAGTACAGTGGGTTGGCCTTGCATGGGCCAATTCCTAGCACCTCATATAGTTCCCTGATTCCTACCAGAAATGATCCCTAAGTACAGAGCCAGGAGAAAGCCCTAAGCACTGCCAAGCATGGCCCAAAATTCAAAAATAAAAATCTGGGAACAGTAGGGGCTGGAGCAAAAGCACAGAGGGCAGAGAGTTTGCCTTGCACGCAGCCAACCAGAATTCGATTCCCAGCATCCCATATGGCCCCCCAAGCACTGCTAGGAGTAATTCCTGAGTGCAAAGCCAGGAGTAACCTCTGTGCATCACCAGGTGTGACCTCCCCTCCAAAAAAGGAAAAAAATCTGGGAACAGTAATTTAGGTTTTTTAGGAGACCTTCCATCTCTCCCCACAAGATGCTGAGTTTCCTTCTCTCTTTCATCTGGGTCTCAGTGCCCCTCCTCTGAAACTCCAAACTTTGCCCATTTTATAGTAATCCATTTATCAGTCACTCTAGCCTTCCAGCACAAAGTGTATCAGAATCAGTAAATTGAGATGGGGATGGTCAGGGGGACAATTGCAGCAGTTCCTCTCTGGGCCCTGCCCCCAGCCCCAAAGTTGGGGTGGCAGGCAGTATGCTCTCTAATGTGAGTCCAGCCCCTGTATGGATCCAATTCCTCATTCAAATTAACTCTGCTCAGTCATTCTCAAGTGGAATATTTTAGATGAGTTTCTTGTTTGACTATGACCTTGAGAAAGAAAACATACACTTATATCAAACACATTTATTTTTAAAATGAGGCGTTAACAAAGCATAGTTTATAGAAGAGTGAAATATTTAGCGCAAAATAATGCTACGTGCTAACTAAGTCTCAAATAACCGTCACAGTAGAGTTGTTTCAATAGTGCTTCTTCAGCATGGCAGAGCACATGTGTTCAACTTAACAGCATCTCAAAACACCTCTCAATGGACATGCACGATGAGAGAAGCAAATGTTCAGGGACTCCTGTCCTAAGGTATTAGAGAATGAATCTGCACACTTCAGAACAAGTCTAGTACCGTACATCTGAAATAAGCCAAACATTTTCTTTTAAAGTATTTGTCTTCAAATAAAATTGGGTCAAAAGACTTAAAACAACAGGACAGATAGATACAGGCAAGATAAAGATTGCTAGGCACACCGGGTAACTGGATTCTTGAATTGAGAATCAGTGTAGTCCTCACTTTCAACATCACATCCAAAACGTGTGGTAGAAAAATAAGTCACCTTCAATATGAAGGATGTGAGTTGTGTACACCGACAGCACTCTATATAGATACAAAAGTATTGCAGAAGGAATACCAGTATAGAGTGGACCTTCTTATGAGGCCAAACACTTGTGTTATCAGATGCCCATTCAGATGATTGGGTTAAGCAACTATAGGATTCTTATATAATCAAGACAGTTGCCAAAAGTTATCTTTAACATGACATAGAGTCTCCCGATACATTGTTAGATGAGGACATGGTTTTCCCTTAGGCTCACTCTATACTGAAAACCCAAGTACCACACCTTGGTCACAAACAAGGTTACTTGTAACACTAGAACTTCAACATCAGTTTACTTAACCTTTCCCCAAATCATGATTTTTTTATAAATCACATCTGAGCTGAAAGATTTCTCTTAGAATCTTCATTCTCCGTATTTATAATTCCTCTTTCCCTCAGACTGCCCATTCTTTCTGAAGTTTGTTTGGTTTTTCTTTGCAAAATACAAAGAACTGATGTTTCTCCTTTCTATAAATTATTTTCCCAGGAGAAAAATGCAACACCAACTTAATAAACACAAATAACCTCACATTTTCTCACCGAAATTTAAGCATCAGATCTCCCATTCCCACTCTGCCTTGAGTTGCAGAGAGCCCTTATATGTACTTTTCAGACATCTCACATACCATTAACACAGCATCCTCTCACCATCAATTGTCCTTCCTCAACCTGCCCTTTCCCACTAGAAAAGCTAGTGAATAGAGAAGGGAGGAGAAAGAGTCCTGAAAAACTATTGCTTCTTATATAAGTAGGGTTTTACTTGATCCTCAAAACCACATTGGGCGGTGTCATCTATTCAGATCTCTATACTAAATACTCAAGTGGCTAAGTTTTAGTAGCCAGGTCTCAAAAGCTCAAAACTAACCTAGAAAGGAAAAGTAGCAAATGTTTCCTTAGATTGAGCAATATGGACCTAGCACTACTGTGTATAATATGATGAATCAAGAACAGTCACCAAGTGGCATCATTCATCTGTAGGGGGCCAAGTTCTCCATTCTACCCCAGCTCTGCCATTCTGGGAAGAACCCATTGGCCAGTCTTGGACTGCCAAAGACCATCGACTCTAACTCAGTCTTGGGGGGCACCTGGTGGGATGCACAGCCTTGGGCTGTCATCTGTGTTTGCACTCCATCCGGTTTCCATTGCACATGGACAATTCTATAATTCTGGCCTTCATTGTTGTCCCAGAAGACTTGTCCATTTGCACGGTAAGAAATGCAGAACTCAATTTTCTCCTCAGTTGGAATGACAGAGGGTAAGTCAATGGCAAACGAGAAAGTGTCACTATCTGAGCCACCATATACATTTTTTATGTAGACACAGTCCACATCGGTGTAACTCTTCCAACTATCAAAGGTGATGCGGACCTGAACCACCTTCTCAAAGCTTATATTTTTCACCTTCACTGTCCCAGTCACCATGCGCTCCTGCAAAGAGCAGTTCTCAAGGCAGACAAAGTTCTTCTGAAAGTGGTTCCGAAAACTTAAGTAATCGGCAGCTGGCTGAGGGAAGTCTAAAATCAAGTTTTTCTCTTCGTGAAGCTTCAGGCCAGAGGAGATATCGTTAAGGTCCAAGAGATCAAACTGGAGATCCCATGCTGGTTCTTCCGGAAAGTCAGAGAAGACATGGATGGCAGTGAGAGAGAGGCCCTTGGAGTCAGCAAACACTACCTTCTTTTTGGCTTGGTTGTGGGAATGCTTCCAATCTGCTTCTTGTTTTATATTGAGACATGGTTTCAGAGGTTTTAATTTGTTCACAAAATTTCTTTGTTGGAAGTCATTATAAGGGCCCAGGAAACTCTTCAGAGGTGGAGAATGAGCCAAGCAGAACCTCATGGCCATATCCACTGGCATTACTGAGCTTGTCAAAGGCCGTGTATCTAAAACTTGGATCATTCTGGAATACAAAACGGAGAGGCATGGTTATCACCTGAATCTGGAAGGCTCTTGCCCTGGTCCCTGATATTTGCATTAACTAAATTATAGCCATTGCAGTATCAAAAAGATGCTATCACATACAGTAAAAGAAAACCATTTCAAATATGCAGATCTACATTCTATATTTGTCTCTAGCCTGAACTGCCTTCAAGGCCATGGGTGAATTGCTTAGACACTCAGAAGTCTATTTCCCCATCTGAGAGTTTAAAAGAGTGGATGACACCAGTTCTATCATCAGCTCTGAAATTCATTTGCTCTATTCTGGGGCAGTAATACTCAAATCTGTCCGGTCACAAGGGTCTAGAGAGTTGTTTTTCTTTTACTTTAACCCAGATTCCAGGGACATAAAGCCACTTAGGATTGGAAAAAAGTCACAGATACGTCCTTAAATCTACCGAGTAATTCTAACACCCAGAGAGATTCAGGAATTGTGCGTGGGTCCAGATTACATGCTCCCTCTGGTTGCTTTGCTGATTTTGCTGTAGAATTGAATACATGTCCTGTGAAGCCCTAGAGTCACTTGCTGGTAACATGAAGAAAAAAATTAGCGCTGATTCCCTATTCTTCCTTTCTCTAAACCTCCATACACTCCAGATTTTAGAAAGAAGAAAAGTCTGTAAAAAAAATAATTTTAAAGTTCTCATGGAATCGTTTTTAAAGTGTGAAGACTGAAAACAATAAAGTTGGGAAACTCTTTTACACCTGGATTTTCATGCTCTTCCTCATTTTTCATAAATAACTAAAACATAAGTTAGCATTTGAAGAAAAATTTCATATAATCTGTCTCATATAAAGAAATGTCCAATACTAATTCACATTTAAGTAAAAAAAGAACTAAATATTTGAAATGTGTACCGTTTTAAATAAATATTATACATAAAAGATAAATATTGAAGTACATAACAGGAAAATATCAAAAGATTGAGTTATAAAATTTTAGGTCACCAATTTTCTTTGTACATTATTGGTACTTTTAGTTTGGGGGGCACTATTTTAACTAGAAAATTAAGGTATTTAAATTTTTAACATAACACAAATTTTAGCAATATTAAGGTGTCCATCAGAAGGTATTTTCCTGACCTTCAACACATAATGTCAATATTATGGATCCTCACCCTATATTAGTCCCATAGATAAAAGGTGTAAGTGTAATTGATCAGGACACTTTTCAGTCTAGTTTTAGTAACTCTTCACAACAGCTCCAAGGGCATTGCACAGAGCAATGGACATTATGTGGATAATAAAAACATGTAACAAAAGAACAGTCACACAATTGTCTTTATTAGCACTGGGACTTTTCAGGAAGGCCTACAAACTTAGCACAAGCAAGCAAACACGAAAGCCAGGTTTGTGGGTCTAATAATAGTAAACAAGCAGGATTTTTAAAGGAATCTTCTAAGTTATGTCTGACGACCCTACTTAAAATTGGTTTTGCTGGAGGATTTTTTTAAAAAGGTTTTTCGGGTTTTGTCTTTTACTCTTTGCGCTTACAGAATTGACAACTTTCAGATCTGGCGATTCCTCTGGAATTTTAAATTCTGGCCAGGCGTTTGCTACAGCAAACGGTGGTGAGAAGGGTGAAAGAGAAATAATAAAAGCAAACATCGTCCTGTGGGCCGCACCCCAACAGAGAGACCGAGAGACGGGGACAGAGACAGAGCGCTATCCTAACCAACCAGCTGTGCCAACCTCTGGTTTCCAGTCTCCTTAAACTGCCAGTTTGAACATCTGTGCAGGACTCGGGGGGGATGCATGTGGGAATGAGCACTGAAACTGCCTCACATTAAGAGGGTTCGTGTTTAGGATGGTGACAGATTCATCTCACCAATCAACTTGCCCTTTCCCATCCCGGGGTTTCCTTCTGCACCGGTGACTTTTGGAAGATGCCACCCAGTCTCCCCCTACCCCCTCCCACCTCCCCACCCTAAGCTGTGCGCTCCGCTGGGTTCCAGGGGGGAGCGGGTGCCCTCTCCCTACCTGGTGCAGCTCATTGGGCAGCGAGGTGGCGGCGCACCCAGACCGGCGGCCTCTGCTGCCAGCGCAGGTTTGCACAGGGGGGTCCCCGCCTTCCCGGCTCAGCGGCCCCAAGCGCGGATGGGTGGTGGGTGCGGCGCCTCAGACGCCACTTATCTGCCCCGGACCACGTGAACCAACCCTTCGGACCAATCGCGGGGCCGCGCCCCCGCCCCGACTCCCCGCGTGACCTGCCGGCGTCCCGCTGGGGGCCCCAGTCCTCGCCCGCGGAACGTGACCGCCGTGATGCAGGACGTGAGGCTCCGGGGACTCCGCGGCCAGCTGGCCCGAGCGCAGCGCGCACCGTCGCTCGCCGGGTCCGGGCGGCGGCCGCGGGGCGCACGTAGCTGCAAACCTCCCCCCAGCCCGGGCCCCGCGCCGGCTCGGCCCCGCTGCAGGGAGAAGCAGCCTTGAGGGTTCGAAGCGTACGTGCACGGTTACGACTCGGCACAGAAAGCTGTGACACTCTTCCAAACGGGGTTTTTTACCTAGAATGTTCGCTGCTTGCTATGTCCGGGCTGCGTTTGCATTAGGATGGAAGCACACATGCACCCCGGGAACTGAGGGGCAACTGCGAGAATGGGACTGTTGGCACGCTAAATGCCACCAACGAATGAGGTGACATTCCATTAAAAGGCATTTTGCATCTCCTTCTATGCATCAATTTTCTCTCTGGAAGAGAGAACTGAAGTTAGACCTTCTACTGTTTTGTTCTTTTAATTTTTTTTTTAATTGAGATTCTATGAGTTACAGTACTGTTACTACTGGTTTCTCCTGTACATAATTCCTACACCACACTACCGTTCACCAGTGTACTCACCTTCCTCTCCCAAGGACCAAGGACCCCAACACCCTCCCTCTTTAATCCTCTCCCCAAAATCAGTTGTGCGTTCTATTGGTTTTTTGTTTGTTTGTTTGCTTCAAGGGTTTCGGTTAGCGGCACCCTGAGCAGTACTTTAGGGCTACTCCAGACTTGTTCAAGGTACCATGGTGCTGTGCAGACCATATGCGGGTGGAAACCAGAGCCTTAACCCCTGCACTGCCAGTCCCTAAATGACCTTCTTCTGTTCACGTGGTGAGTCAGCCACAAAGCCAGTGGTCAACCCAAATCCCTCGACTCTGTTCTGACGTCTTTTGGCACTGATGTGGAAATCAAAGCATTAAAATATCACACAGTAAGTTTCATGATTCCCCTAAGCCACTTACTTTTGCTGATGTTTTAGTTCTCCAGCTTCTTAGCTGTAATATTAAGCTACATAATATGTAAACTATAATATTACATTTTTAAGTTGACTACAGATTTTGGGGGGGTCACACCCAGCAATGCTCAGGAGTTACTCCTGGCTTATGCACTCAGGAATTACTCCTGGCAGTGCTCAGGGGGACCATATGGGATGCTGGGAATCACACTTGGATGGGCCCCATGTAAGGCACGCGCTACCCGCTGTGCTATCGCTCCAGCCCCTACCACAGATTAATTTTTATGAAAACCCATCATCTAGTTTTGCTCTTTAGCCCAGATATACAGTATCAATGAAAATGTATTAAAATCCCTGTGTGGTGGGTGGGTGGGGGTGGGAGAGAGAGAGAGAGAGAGACAGAGAGAGAGAGAGAGAGAGAGAGAGAGAGAGAGAGAGAGGAGGAAGGAAGGCAGGGAGAGGAAGACGGAGGGGGAGGCTGGAGCACCTTCCTTCTCTGCATGCAGAAGCCTGGTTAGATCACTCAAAGTCCTGGGGGGGAGATCAATAAACAAAACTCCCTGGTGTCTTGGTGTCTTCTATTGAGCAGTGTTGTTGTTAAAGTGGTATTGTTAAAGGGGTGTTATTAAAGAAAATGAAACTCATGCTGAATATCATTAGGGGAGTACTTGGGCTTGAATATTTTGTCGAATATTTTGTTTTGTTTTGGGACTACACCTGGTGGTACTCAGGGCTTATTCCTGTCTCTGCACTCAGGAATCACCCCTGGCTGGGGTTGGGGGACCATACGGGTGCCGAGGATCAAACCTGGGTGGCAATGTGCAAGGCAAGTGCCTTGGCCACTGGACTATCTCTCCAACCCTTGAACTGCTTAATGAAATGTCAACTATATCAGTTCTTCTGGCTTATCAGCAAATCTCGAACTATCAAAAAGACAGTCTTTGGGTTTGAGAGTTACTATCTGTTTGAATCAATATAAATTCTTATCTCAGTCTTCTCTGTTAAAAATGAAGACAGTAGAGGGCTGGAGAGATAGCACAGCGGGGAGGGCGTTTGCCTTGCACGTGGCCGACCCGGGTTCGATTCCCAGCATCCCATATAGTCCCCTGAGCAGCGCCAGGAGTAACTCCTGAGTGCAGAGCCAGGAGTAACCCCTGTGCATCGCCAGGTGTGACCCAAAAAGCAAAAATAAAAAAATTTTTAAAAATAAAATATAATAAAAATGAAGACAGTAAAGCTGGTCTGAGGATTAAATAAAAGTGTGTAGATGAGAAAATGGCACAGTAGCCCACGTATGTGTTCAAACCAGGCAATTCTACTCCTTCTCAATCCTTTGGTAATAGTTTTTACTCTTTTGCCACCAGAAGTTGTTGCCTGAGCTAATAGTTACTGCTTGCTGAGCTTTTACTCTATATAAAATACTGTTTATATATTTTATGTGTCTTATCTGGGCTGGAGCAATAGCAACAGTGCATAGAGCATTTGCCTTGCACGCAGCCAACAGGGTCGACCTGAGTTCGATTCCTCCGCCCCTCTCGGAGAGCCCAGCAAGCTACCAAGAGTATCTCACCCACGCGGCAAAGCCTGGCAAGCTATCCAAGACATATTCGATTCGCCAAACACAGTAACAAGTCTCACGATGTTACTGGGCCCGCTCAAGCAAATCGATGAACAACGGGAGGACAGTGACAGTGACAGTGATATGTCTTATCCACTTAATCCTTACAACAATCGCAGTGGTATGTATTTCATTGGTCCCATTTTCAGATTAGGAAACCAAGGCACTGAGGAGTTGCGATCTACCCAGGATGTCATAGGAAGCGCTGAGATTAGAAACTAACTGAGACCAGAGCTGCAACTATTTTACCATAGGCCTTACTGGATTCACCCATCAACCACTGAAATGATACAGGTGAAGAGTGATGTGTCTTTCATCTTTATTTCAAATATGAGGATTCCAAAACTTAGAAAAGCTGAGCATCAAGCCAGGAAAGAGTGAAAAAATATTCAAAATAAAAATTACTACACAAGGTACAGTTTTTTCTCAATTCATGATCATATGATGAACTAAAAGTGTATATTACTGTCATGCCTTTTAGGAGTAAAGATGTACATGCAGAGAAAGTAAAATGTGCTCTATCAAAATATTAACAGCTTGGATGATGAGATTGTGCACAATTAAAAGTTTCTACATCATTTTGCTTTTCTGTATTTTTTAATTTGCAATGAACTTGGACTCTATATAATTAAGACATTTTAAAAGCTATTTAAACATTCAGATTCAACTACCATGTATTGTCTACTATTGTCAAGCACTTTACCGGAGACTTTCTGTACTAAAACCATTTACTTACACAGTTCCTCTGAGTTGACACTATTTTCCGTTCATGCTGCTTCCTCTCCTGCCCCCTGGTGCTGACTGATGCTGTGAAAACCACTCTCCCAACTCCTTAAAATGGAATTCTCCCCAGGAAAGCAAGGCGCTCTCTCTCTCTCTCTCTCTCTCTCTCTCTCTCTCTCTCTCTCTCTCTCTCGTAGAAGTACTGCCATTTATTCAGCCATTGATTAAGCTGATTGAAGACTCTCTCTTAAGTGGAGTGAATCCTCAACAAATATCCAAACTGTATGATCCAGGCACCTCACTTCTTTGTCCCCTTTATGGTTACATTAATGATGCTGTGTAAATCTAAAGTGTACAATGGTGCTGATTTGATATATTTGCACATTTCAAAATGCTTCCCAACAGTATTAGATAACCTTTCTCAGGTCAAATAATTACCATTTTTGTGGTAATTACCAAAGCTTGGGAGGGGTTAACAAGGGCCCAAACATACACATTTGGGGGAATCTAAAGTATAATATGATCAGTGATAGTATATTGTATACAGTTGAACTTTGGACAATGTGAGGGTGAGTGGTGCCAATTCCATGTAATTGAAAATCTGAGTACATATTTGACTCTCTTAAAAAAATTAATCATACTTTCGGAGGTAACTGGATTGGTTTCAGGATCCCCTTCCACCTTCACTCTGATACTGAAATTTTGGATGCTAGAGTCAAATCTTCCATGAGTTATACTGGGCCTTTGGCCCACCTCCTTATCATCCACCTTCAATTCAAGCCACAGGCATCTATCGTTTGCTAAATCAATGAATGCAAACCCTGTTGATCTAAAGAAGTCATTGTATTTACTAAAGAAAAATTCCACATATAAATGAACCCTCATGGTTTAAACCTTTATCGCCCAGGGTACTTGAAAGTTGCAGTTTTTTCCCATGGTCACTGAAGGATCAGGGTGGAGAAAGGCATGTCAGAAAGGACTTGGGGAGAAAACTTAGTCTACTAATGAGGGCTTCCAAAAGCCTTTCAGATGAACATTACAAAAGAATTACAAAAGATGGGAGAGGGGATGAATTGTCTGAAGAATGAAATAGGAATTAGCTAAGATAAACAAAAATTCATAGGAAGAAGCAAAGAAGGAAATATAAAAATTAGAAGAAATATTCTGAAAAAGAATAATTAGGATATATCAGCACTATCCACTATATAAAATTTATTTTAAAATCAGAGCACTTTTGGCGCATATGCTGCCCGAGCCCATGTGCTGCTTGCACCCACGTGGCTGAGCACATGTGGTGCCCGAGTACATGTGTCGCTGGCATCTCCCCTCTTGAGATGTGTACTTTCATGCTTTCGTGTCTAATGCTAGGATGTGTGGAGGGGCTCTCTCCACCCTCGGAGAAGCCCGCGTTCTCTCTGGACGCGTTACTCTCTCTCTTACTCTCCATTCCCCCGCTTATCTGCTTATCCCTTTCTCTCCCTCTCCAAAAATCCTCCAAATAAAATCTATTTGTTTCACTGCAAAAAAAAAAAAGTCAGAGCACTTTTGAAAGTCTGTTGTTGCAAAAACAAAGAATCAGATTA